CGCGTTTTCGCGCGCGTGCCGGCATCTTTTGCACACCTTCAAATTGTCCAAAGGAATTCAAAATCGAGCGTCTCAGAGAAAGTATGATGGGCATGGTTCTGCAACTTGACTGCTCAAACAAATGGCGCGCGCGCACCTGCGGATTTCTACGATTACCAGCGTCTTTCAGCGCGTTCATCACATGCGACCAATTGGGCTTCATGCGCGCGCATGTCGCCATCATCTGAACGCCTGTGCGCGCGTGCTGGGGGGGGGGGGGGGGGGCGATGCGTGTCTAATGGTGCCAGGCGCGGGACAGTCGCGCCCGTCGGCTGCGCGCGCGTCATAATTTTGCTAAGACTTTCGTCGCCGACGCGCGGGCGCCATAATCGTCATCTGCGTGATCAGCATCGGTACCGTCGTGAGCCTGGCCAGTATCGTCACATGCATGTCTACTATCATCGCCGAGTCTGCCGTTGTTGACGCCGCCAAAATACCGCGCCCGCCCGAGTTGCTGACTCGCGCTGAGGTGCTTGCGCGCTTCCGCGGCCTGAGGGGCGCGCTGGGAAGCCCCTGGCGGCCAGCGCCACCGCGGCCGCGGCGAGGCGCCAGCCGGCGCCGAGTAGCCGTCGCGATCGCCGCCGCGTGGCTTCTGCAAACCAAGTTTCGGTGGGATCATTGCGCGGGCAGTGGCGACGGGATTCTCAAGTTCGGCAGGGCGAAGCTCATCGCGTAGATTGCGCCGCGTAGGTCGCGCCGCAAAGATTGCGCAACAAGATCGCCCGCCAATATTGCACCGCGTAGATTCTCTTGTCTAGAGAGGCATTCGGATCTTCCCCCCGCCCATGGGCGGGGCTACAAAGGATTGCGCCCCATCGCTTGTTCGTTCTAAATAAGAAGCCGCACCATCCCAGCCAGACTGGCAACGACATGCCCTTTCTTTCCTCGCATCGAGTGCTACGCGCGCGCGTTCGATGACCGAGAATCAGCAATCCCACGATTCCTTTGCAACATATCAGACGAAGTGCACAGGCGCGCGTCGTCGCGCGCGCATGTCGGAGTCTGTCAGCATGCCATGCGTCGAGCGCCCCAGAAACATGCCAATCACACGCTGTGTAACAACATGATTTGTTTTTAAACAGGTGCGTGCGCGCGCTCAGGCGGATCTTGAGATCGCCATATGACGGCAAACTGTCCGTTGAATGCAACCAGCCGGGCCCTTCGCGCGCGCGCGTCGAAATCGTTCGAACGCCCTTGCGCGCGTTCTGGTGTGAGAGGGGCGGCCCCTGACAAATATTGCCGAGCGGGCCACTCGCGCGCGTCGGCCGCGCGCGACTGTCAAAACCCTGCCTATGCTTTCATCGCTGACGAGTGGGCGCCGTCGTCGTCATTGGGATGATCAGCATCGGCGCCGTCGCTGGCCTTGCCGTTGCCATCGCCGTCGTCACTGTCCCCGCCGGCATCGCTACCATCACCGTCGTGCCTGCCATTTTCGACGTCGCCATGATGCCGCGCCCGCCCGAGTCACCGACTGGCATTGAGGCGCCCGCGCGTCGCCGCGGCCTGCGGGGCGCGTCGGGAGGTCTCCAAAAGGACAGCGCTGCTGCGGCCGCGTCGGTCTCGCCAGACTAGCTGGCCGATCTGCGCGCAGCCGCAGCGAGGCGCCAACCGACGCCAATGATCCATCGCAGTCGCCGCCGCGTGCGTTTTGCAAGTCGAGTTGCGGGTGGGCGAGGCGATTGCGCGCGGAGTGTCGTTTTCAATTTCATCGCTGGGAGGGCGAATTGCACCGCGTAGATGCACAGTGTAGATCGCGCGATCTAGACCACGCACCATGGATGGCATGGTATAAATTGTACACTGCACGGCGTAGAATATCTTTTGTAAAGAGAGAATCGGTTATACCACCCCTCTCCCCCAGGTTTTAAACCCCCCCCCGGGAAGCGATGCAAAAAACATCGGATTCTGACCCAATGTCCATCCCATGTGTGAGTTCGTACTATCCCAGCCCAACCAGCATCGCCCCCCCCGGCATCCTTTGCAACATATAGTATGCGCGCGCACTGGTTTATCACAAATCATACGTTCCCAAGAACGCCTTGCAAAACATTGGGCGAAGTGCACGCGCGCGCGTCGTTGCGCGCGCATGCCGAAATCCTTCAAAACGCTAGGTTTCGGAAGTGTTCAAAACCAGCATTATTTTTTGCACAAAAGACTTACACGCGCGCTCTTGCGAAATCTTAAAAACACCATTTTGTTATTTTTTAGTACCTATACGACCACCCTGCGGGTGATAAGGAGGTGAGGGGGGAGGGGGAACCAGCGTCTCACTCAATCGATCTCGCTATCGATCTCACATTCGATATCATTATCGATCTCGCTATCGATCTCGCTATCGATCTCACTATCGATCTCACAATCGATCCCACAATTGATCTCGCAATTGATCTCGCATTCGGTCTCACATGTGGTCTCACTGTCGATCTCACTATCGATCTCACAATCGATCTCACCGTCGATCTCGCAGTCGATCCCATATTCGGTCTCACATTCGGTCTCACTATCGATCTCACTATCGATCTCGTAATCGATCTCACTATCGATTTCACAATCGATCTCACATTCGGTCTCACTATCGATTTCACAATCGATTTCACATTCGGTCTCACATTCGGTCTCAATATCGATCTCACTATCGATCTCACAATCGATCTCACTATCGATATCACTATCGATCTCACAATCGATCACACTATCGGTCTCACAATCGATCTCACAGTCGATCGCACAATTCATCTCGCAATCGATCTCACATTAGGTCTCACATTCGGTCGCACCGTCGATCTCACTATTGATCTCACAATCGATCTCTCAGTCGATCTCACATTCGGTCTCGCATTCGGTCTAACTATCGATCTCACTATCGATCTCGCTATCGATATCTCTATCGATCTCACAATCGATTTCACAATCGATCTCACAATCGATCTCACATTCGGTCTCACATTCGGTCTCACTGTCGATCTCACTATTGATCTCACAATCGATCTCACAGTCGATCTCACATTCGGTCTCGCATTCGGTCTCACCATCGATCTCACTATCGATCTCATAATCGATCTCACTATCGATCTCACAATCGATCTCACAATCGGTCTCACTATCGATATCACAACCGATCTCACAATCGACGTCATCATCATCACCAACAACACCAACATCATCATCTTCGCCATCATCAACATCATAATCATCATCATCATCAACATCATGATCGGGACACCGACGGGACACCGACGGGACACCGGCGGGACACCGGCGGGACACCGCGCGCCACCGGCCGCCCAGTGGAGAATCATTTGGTCCGGCCGCGCCTCAGCCACAGAGGACACCACCGGGACACCGGCGGGACACCGCGCGCCACCGGCCGCCCGGTGGAGAATCATTTGGTCCGGCCGCGCCTCAGCCACAGGAGACTTTCCTATCGCCCGCCCACGCAGCTTCGCCTCGCCCGCACGCACGGCACGCACGAACACGAAACCGAAATCGATTTCCCGGTAGGGGGGCTCTCCGTTCCACTTCGATCTCACCTCCTCACCTCCGACATATATATATATACATATATATATATATAAACAACCAAACGGGCTTTTGCGCGCGCGTGTCAAAATCGTTCGACCGCCTTTGCGCGCGTGCCGCCGCGACAATCCCCAGCGACAAATGGCGCGAAGTGCACGCGCGCGCGTCGCCGCGCGCGCTTGCCGAAATCCTTGAACAACCAGTGGTTTCGGAAAGATTGCAAAATCGAGTTTACAAAACACACGCAAACAACACAGGGTTTCACAACATGGATTTTCAACAAAAGCGTGCGCACGCGCACTTGCGTCGTCGTCGTCGTCGTCCTCGCCGTCCTCCCCCCTCCGTCGTCGTCGCCGTCGTCGTCTTCGGTCATTCCTCGTCGTCGTCGTCGTCGTCGTCCTCTTTGGCGTCGTCGTCGTTTCCATCATCGCTGTCGCCGTGGTCGTCCTTCCTCCTCCCTCGTCGTCGTCGTCGTCGTTGTCGGCGTCTCGTCGTCGCCGTCGCCGTCGCCGTCGCCGTCGTCGTCGTCTTCCCTCCTCCCTCGTCGTTGTCGTCGTCGGCGTCGCCATTCTCCCTCCTTCTTCGTCGTTCGCTTCGTCGCCGTCCTCCCTCCTTCCTCGTCGTTGTCGTCGTTGTCGCCGTCGTCGTCCTCCCACCTCCCCCGTCGTCGTCGTCTTCGTTGGCGTCGTCATCGTCGTCGTCGTCGTCGGCGTCGGCGTCGTCGTCGTCGTCGTTGTCGTCGTCCTCGTCGTTGGCGTCGTCGTCGCCGTCGTCGTCGCCGTCGTCGGCGTCGGCGTCGTCATCGTCGTCGTCGGCGTCGGCGTCGGCGTCGGCGTCGTCGTGGTCGGTTTTCATTTCGTTGTCGTCGTCGTCGGTGTCGCCGTCGTCGTCGTCGTTGTCGTCGTCGTTGTCGTTGTCGTCAAAGTCGTCGGGGACGTCGTCGGTGTCGTCGTAGTCGTCGTCGTCGTCGTAGTCGTCGTCGTTGTCGCTGTCATCGTCGACGTCGCTGTCGCTGCCAAGTGCAATTTGGTACCCAACGTCACGGTCTTAACGCGTCTTGCGACCAAGTTGCGGGTGGGAGGGTGGGATGTTTGCACGAGCACCGGGGAGGACAGTTTCAAGACAGTCAAAGTGAGTTGCACCTCGTATGCTGCACCACCTAAGTGGCACCACGTATGTTGTTCCACATAGATTGCACATCATACATGACTATACTCACATTGGCCGGAGTCCACGATGGCTATCATAATAGTGTCATGTTTGCGTGGCGTTTTTGTTGTGAGTTTGCTTGTCTCAGAACCATCCCAGCTTTTGTAAAGGCCTTCGTGGAGCCCCCCCGCGCTTCAAATGTTTCCCCCTGTCGTCTTCGAGGCTTCCCCCCCTCGCCCCACCCCGTTCTGCGCCCCGCCACAGGGGGGGGGAGGGCGCCCCACACCCCGCAGGTGGCGTACTCGGCTCTGTGCGGCTCTCCGCCGTTGCTCCGCCCGCCGTCGCCCCGCCCCGCTCCACGCGTGCGCGTGAGGGGGAGGAGCAAATAGGAGGTGGGAGTGGAGGAGGTGGACGGGGAGGTGGGGGGGCAGGATGGAGAAGGAGGGATGAGGGGTGATCACATGGGGGGGGGAGGAAGCAGATGAGGAAGAAGAGGAGGAGGACGTGGGAGGAGGGAGGAAGAAGAAGGGGGGGGAGAGAGGAGGGATACGGATTGGGACGGAAGGGCAGACGATGGAGGAGGCAGGAACAGCAGCCACAAGAGGGAGGAGGCTGGAGGGAGGAGGAGGGAGGTCGGGAGGGAGGGAGGAAGCGATACGAGCGGAGGCATGCTCGCGCCATATCTGACACCCGATCCCTCGCACTGATCCTTGTCCATGACGCTGAATTTTTTTTTCTCTGCCGAATGGGGCGTTCTAGAGGTCCTTGATCCCCTAAATGATGACTCTTTGACTTGGTGCGCAATTAAGAAGGGAGGTCTCGTACAATGGAGGAGGAGGAGAAGGAGGAGGTGGAGAATGCTATAGAGAGCGGATGACGAGGAGGACGTAGGAGGAGCATAATGCAGAAGTGGATGGTGGTGGTGATGATGACGGATGGATGAAGTGAGGGAGTAGGAGGGGGAGGATGGAAGGAGAGGTAATGCAGACCTTGATTGCTCAACCCCGTGCGCACTTTGAAATTCGACGGGCGCCCGCGACCCATCTAAAATCTGCGAGAACCTTCCTTTTTATCCTTCTCGTCTCTCCTCCTCCTCCTCCTCCTCCTCCTCCTCCTCCTCCTCTTCCCTCCTCTCCAGTCCGCCACCCTCATCCTCTTTGCTCACTCCTCCTCCTCCTGCTCCCTCCGCCTCATCCTCCTCCGCTTCATCCACCACCTACGTAGAAGTCCGTGTTGGACTCGGCCTTTCTGAGCCCCCCCCCACGCGATGCGGAGGATTGCCGTGCTTCGTACTTTCGTGAAGCGTGCGGTGATCTCCTCCCTCTCCTTCCTCCCCCTTATCCTCCTCCCCCTCCTCCTCTCTCCCCCTCCCGGCTTCTCCGTAGCCATGTTGGCTCAAGACTAAATGCTTGGGAGGCCTCCAGCCTCCAGGCTCGCACGGATACCGCTGTCACCGCGGCCAGAAGATTCAAGCTTTCTTTCCGACGGTTGGTCCGCCCCAGCCGTTCGGCTGCCTCCTGCGGCCCCGCAGGTGAGCAGGTGTTCTCGTGGGCCCACAACGTCGCTTCGATGGGACCGCGCGAGGACTCCGCGTGCAGGTGGTATTGCAAGAGTTGCAAGAATGATCGCACGGGTAAGCAGTGGTGGAACATGGCGCATGCGAAGAAGTGTGTGCTGTGCGGCTTGGCGAAAGGAGTCACGTTCGGGGGCAACGTTCAGCCCGCGGAGCCTTCAGTCCGCGCCAAGTCCAAGATGCCGCCGTGGAAGTACCCGTCCGCTGAGGCAGCAGGGCAGGCGAAGATACGTGAGCTGGAGGCGAAGATCAAGGAGCTACAGGCTGAGTCTAAACGTGGGCCCCTCGGGGACCACATGCAGGTCGACGCTGGCGAAAAGGATGATGAGGCTGACATTCGCAGAAGGCTCAAGGAGATCGATGAGCAGCTGGCGTTTGTGTCCAAGTATAGCAATGAGTCCAAGGCGGGCGCATATGTGGAGTCGTTACGGGTCGAGAAGGAGCGTTTGCACAGCACGCTTCAGGAGTCTCGCCCCATGTATGCGAAGTTGCAGACCATGTCCAATCGGCTCAAGACGGCGGAGAAGAGGGCGGAAGCTTCGAGAGAGTTGGTGGCTGAGAGGAAATTTCAACTTGGTGAGATGCAGAAGAGTCTGGAGCAGGCCGAGAAGAATCTCACGGAGCAGGAGAAGGAGGTGGTGTCGCTCAGCGCGCAGGTGCAGGAACTCACGAAGCAGGCGCCAATGGCTCCTGAGTCGGCATCACTCGAGGAGAAGGGCAAGGGCATGGCCATGGACGTTGGTGCCTTGGGCAAGATGCTTGAGGCGCAGGGTCTTGGCTCCGAGCAGGCGGAGGGCTTGGCGCAGGTGCTTGCGGACAGTATGTGTAAGCTCTGGGTCAGGCAAGAGGCTGGCGAGTCGAAGCGAGACGGACAGGCTGCACTGTCGCTCCAAGTTCCTCGCACGCCGATGGGCGAAGCAGGCGGCCCATCGCCTGGCACGCCGAGTGCTGAGGCAGGGGGCGGAGTGCCCGCAGCTGCAGCAGCAGGAGGCGCCAAGCCCAAGTCGTTGGACCAGGTCATCGCAGATGCCAAGGAAGAGGAGCTGCGGGAGTCGTTGGAGGCGCTGTACCCATCCGAGCTGGCGGAGCATGTTCCCAAGGACCTTGAGGGCCTTCGGGCGGCTGCTGCTCGTTTGGCGGCTATGCCTCTCTTCAATCAAAGTGGACAGCGGCTGGCAGTCGTGCGTGCACCTTATTGAGATGCCGCGTGATGGTGTTCTTTTGCACGCTATGCCGCAGCAGCAGGTTGTGGCGGACTCCAGTTTGGATGCTGAGGATTGCCAGCGGGATTTTCAGCAGTCTGACGACGTGGGCTTCGACCTGGACGAGTTCTTCGGTATCACCGAGAATCCGACGGCGGCGCTGACCTCTACCTCGACCAAGTGTGGGTCTACTGGGGCCAGCTCTGCTCTGGCGTCTGGGCAGCAGCCTGATACTGACCTCAAGTTGAAGGGAGTGATCACGTCTGCCAATGTGGAGGGTGCAGGACCTCTCAAATTGTTCATGGAGACGTGCAGGTCCAAGATCGTGGTGATTCAGGAGCATCGCACGTTAGCCAAGCATATTCCATCGTTGCGGGCTCATATTCGTGATCTGGGCTTCCATGGGTACTTTGGTGGTGCTCTGGAGACTGGCGCTACGGGGCGTTCTGGTGGAGTAGCCATCCTGGCTCCGACGCATATCGTGGTGAAGGCGCCTCCTGAGCTCCCTGGGCACGAGTTGGAGCCTGGTCGTATTGCTGCTGCTGATGCCTCCTGGATGGTACCAGGAGGGGTAGTTATTATTGCTGTGTATCTTATCTCTGGTGAGGGAATGAGTGCAGCAAATGAGGCACTAATCTTGAAGATTGCGAGGTACCTTGCAGTTTTGAATGCAATAGGGCGCGACTGGATTGTCATGGGAGATTGGGACCTCACGCCTGATTTGCTTTCTTCAGGATGGTTGGCGGGCGGGAATGGCTTTGTTGCAGTGCCTTCGAGGCCCGCATGTGTGTTGGAGCAGCCTGGCAGTATCATTGATTACGCTCTGGTTTGTGCCAACTTGGGCACTCGTGTCCTACGGCCTCAGGTGGTGGGCGACAGTTATATCAAAGTTCATTTACCTGTGGAGTTGCCCGTGTTAGCTGAGGACAGGCCAGCATGGGTTCGTCATGTTGTGGAGCCAGCTCCCTCTCCAAAGACGCCGCCTATTGGTTGTGAGACATTTCCAATGTATTGGGGTGGGGTTGAACGGCAGGTTTTTTTATGCTCAAACCAGCGAAGACTTGAGCCTGGCTTGGGACGAGTTGCTGGCGGGCATGGAATTTGAATTGCAGGGCGTCTATGATTGCTTAGATGGAGTGAAGGCTTCGGTGACGTCTGGACGTGGTGGCCCTTTACTTACCAAGATGGCACTGGCCAAATGGCGACCTCCTCTTCGACGGTTGCAGCATGGCCCTGTGCTAAGGGCTTGGATGGTTGCTCTAAGGTGGGTTGTCCATTGCAGGAGGGTAAAGGAGCACGTTGCCAGGTTGGTGGGCCAGCTTCTTATTTGGCAGGACGGGATCAGAATTGTGAACGTGCTGGCTGATCACTCCGTGCTGGCGAAGATGCTGGTGGAATTCGCTCGGTTTATGCATGGTGCTCGTGGTTGTGATGGCACTTTACAAGCTCTACCTGCATGGGTTTCCGAATTCTTTTTGCCGTCATCTTGCTTTGATCTTTTGGCGCGTGATGATTTTGACCAGGTGTCGGCCAATATCCAAGGTGCTCATGATCGACTGCTGTCTGCACAGGAGATGCGTGATCGGGCCCGATGGAAGAAGTTCGTGGATTCAGCATTTGAGAAAGGTGCAAGTGGTGCGCATAGTTTTACTAGGTTACAGGCAGCCCAGGAGATCATCGAGGCAGGCAGCGAGCAGTCACCGCACGAGCTGGCTGATCGTGAAATGCGAAAGTGGTTGAAGGTATGGACGGTGCATGAGGATTGCGAGATACAGTTGCCGACTGATAGTGCCAGTTGGCCTTCTCTGCCTTACATCACTACGGATACGTTGGTGCAGGCTATCCTATCGTTCAAGTGGAAGACGGCAGCGGGCCCGTCGAAGCTGCAGCCCAGATCGTTCTGGTTCTTGTCGCGTGATGCTTTGGGGGCCATGGCGGCGTTTTTCATGAAGTGCGAGGATTTGCTTCTCTGGCCAGTGAATCGTATCCACTCCGAGATGGCTATGATCCCAAAGGAAGGAGGAGGTACTCGACTGGTGGCTTTTATTCACACGCTGATACGGGTCTGGGCGAGAGTACGACGACCGCTTTCACGGCAATGGTTGCAGCAGTTCCCCTCGGAGATGATATGGGGCAACAGGAAGGGTTACTCGTCGTCGGGTTCGGCCTTCATGCACAACGCGATGGCGGAGGTGTCCAAGCTGCTGGGCGAGCATTCGCTCACGGTGATGATGGACATGTGGAAGTGTTTCGACACGGTCAAGGTCAGCAGTCTTTTTTTGTGAAGCTCGGGAAGTCGGATACCCTTTGCGACTTCTGTGGCAGTTGGTGACTTCTTATAAGATGCCTCGGGCGGTGAAGGCGTTTGGGTCGGTGTCTGTCTTACACGAGGTGGGGCAAGGTATCCTGCCCGGATGCACTCACGCCACGACCTTGCTGACGGTGTTGATGATTCGTACGTGGATTAGTGTGAAGGAGATTTGTCCGACCATCCACCCTCGTGCTCTAGTGGATGATGGAACCCTGCAGTGGGTGGGGCAGGACTTGCAA